CAGGTTCTTGCAGTTTCTTCAGAGTCACGGCACAGGTTCTTGCAGTTTCTTCAGAGTCACGGCACAGGTTCTTGCAGTTTCTTCAGAGTCACGGCACAGGTTCTGCAGTTTCTTCAGATGTGCCACGGCACAGGTTCTTGCAGTTTCTTCAGAGTCACGGCACAGGTTCTTGCAGTTTCTTCAGAGTCACGGCACAGGTTCTTGCAGTTTCTTCAGAGTCACGGCACAGGTTCTTGCAGTTTCTTCAGAGTCACGGCACAGGTTCTTGCAGTTCTTCGAGTGGCCACGGCGACAGGTTCTTGCAGTTTCTTCAGAGTCACGGCACAGGTTCTTGCAGTTTCTCAGAGTCACGGCACAGGTTCTTGCAGTTTCTTCAGAGTCACGGCGCAGGTTCTTGCAGTTTCTTCAGAGTCACGGCACAGGTTCTTGCAGTTTCTTCAGAGTCACGGCACAGGTTCTTGCAGTTTCTTCAGAGTCACGGCACAGGTTCTTGCAGTTTCTTCAGAGTCACGGCGCAGGTTCTTGCAGCGAACGATATCACCAGAGAAATGCACGGAGTCTTGCTTGCATGGAGCATGCCGAAAACCAATTTTCAATCCCTTTTTCAAAACGTGCATCACACCACTCCCACTCTACAGCGAATTAAGAGAGAAATGCTATGATGGCACTCGTACTGGACATGGCTGACCTGTATGCGACCTCCAACGAAATGTTCCCTGGCTTTCAAGGATGCCTCTGGCGTCTGACGTCAAAGATGTCTCTTTCTCTGACGCGTAGAGGGATGCCTTCAAAACCTATGTTGCAAGCAAGGCGACATGAGACTAAAGCTGAAGGCTAGATGCAACGCTCTGGACTTAGATAACATGAATCCGTTCGCCAGACGCGGCGGCAGCGCTGGTGAAGCGGTAAGGCTGGGTGATTCGCTGACCATACACGGCTTGAGCTGCAAATCTTGGTGTCAGCTGACAGATCTTTAGTACTGCAGACGTACTTAAGGCTGTGCTTTTGCAGTTTAAGCGTTCACGCCTTGATGGCCTTCATCGGGATGATTCACAGAGCTTAAGACTTTCGGCGTTAGTGCCATGCATGTATTGTACTTAAATGCATTTGTGATTGCAATTGTACTACATTGCAATTACAAACTTCTCACCTTTCTCTTTACTCCCCGTCATCATTTACCAACGCTAATGATGCCGAGGAAGTGTAGTTAGCTGGTTTATTGGGTCGACAACGGCCAATGCATTCATTGGCGCACGTTAGTCCGAACTGCAGATTGTCCAGCTCTTTTAACCCCGGTCGTCACTCGACCGCACTTAGCGCCCACGTGACATCCGGTCAGGTAGCGAGGAGGGCTGCAGGCACGGATCGGAGCCCGTTCCGGCGCATCGGGACCGTAGCAGATCGTCAAAGGTTTCGGCTTCTTTTCTACACACACTAGCATTGCTGATATGGGGGCTGGTGCAGTTTGTGGCCTCGTCAGAATCGATGTCCAGCTTGGCATCGAATAAAGCGAGTGACAAGAAGCAAAAACGCGGGAATCTTCAGACCCATGACTTGCACATACAGAGAGGCATGGTGGGTCACAGACAGATGTGGCCCGTCCAGCAAACATCATGGTGCTTGCACGGCATATCGAACTTTCCTGAGTGTCTGGATGTGTCAGCAATGTGCTGGATTTTCGGCAATTTCGGCAATTTCGGCAACTGGGGCTGAAGCTTCTGCTTCTGACTCAGGCTGAAGCATCTGCTTCTGACTCAGCGTCATCCGACAGCTCGGTCCTGCCCGGCAAGTTTGCTAAATATAGCTGCGTCTCGAGCGAAGGCTGAGCCAGCGAACAAGAGTATTTATCAGCGATCCACCGATCTCACGCCTGACGTCACAGGCGTGGATGCTGGGAAACTGGTCGGCTGGATCAGATTGGAGTTCCAGTCTCCACGTCCCGTATTTGTCTTCTCTGCACCGTGTAGAATGTGGCCTACGAATGGCCGAAGTAGCGACATAGTATAAGTAAGCGACGCATGGCCTGTCGAGCCGCAATATAAGGTGCAGGAAAACGATGCACGATTAGCTGACTTGAGTGACTGAAAGTTCTTTTAAGGATAGGAACAGGCTACGATGCTTTGGAGATGGTATAACGCTATGATATTACTCGGGAAGGCTCCTGTCGATCCCTTCCATACCCATTAAGCAGAGTGGCAAATCAAGCCGGCATGGTCACCTACCAAAAGACACCTGCGCACTTTGCCAGGCGAATGCTTCAAACCACTTTCCGCTGCATTCCATATGTTGGGCATAGAAGGCATGCGCCATCCACGTAATTGATGGTGACACACAAGTTGATCCTAACCGGCACTTTCTAAACAGGTGCTGATTTGCTGTGACCGGCGCTTGCTCTCTGTCCGCCTATTTCCAGTTTCAAAACCGCCCATCATCTAGTCTAACTGCGTCTCGTCTCGTTCCAGCGATAACGAGTGCGGGTCAGGCTTCATCTGCCAAGGTCAGAAGTGCGTTCAGCGGACTCCCTCCTACTCAGGTCAGTGCCACTCCCGCCAGCACACGATGATGGCGGGCCAGCCGTCCCCTCTCCGTAGAAATGAAACATTGACGCTGTGGGTATCTGGTTAGAAACTAGGTAAACGTTGCTTTTGTTCCCCTCCCACCCTGTCCGCTCAGATGATCTGTTATCATTACCCTCGTGCAGTGATGTCAGGAATAAGAAAAGCGTTAAAAATCGCTACCAAAGAAGTTGTATCTCTCCCCCCCCCCCCCCCCCCCCCCCCCCCCCACACCCATTAATATATGATCTTTCCCATTTTTTTCTGACTCTTCATTTTCACACTGCAATACTTCTGCAGTTTCGCTTAAAAAGTAGGCCCATGGAACTCCAGGAACCGCTTTGAAGAATTTGTATTGTTTCATCGACACGAAAACAGTGGCGAAACCTCCCGGAAGCGCCAGCAATGTTTAACTCCAGCTCCCCTTTCCTGGTGGGGACTTGTCCAGCTAATTCACGACAGAGTTACACCTAATTTGTCAGGGCGGGATCCTTTCATAGCGTGAGGTGAGGCATACACGTTCTTAGCCCGCAAATGACAGTTTTTTCCGGGTACAAGTCTACCGCGAACATGCTCTTAATTTGGACCATTACCGCGCCGCTTATTCCCACAAATAATTGGGACAGCACACAGGACGCCGTTATCGTTGACGACTCTTCGTTGCAATGGCATACAACCATGAATACAGTGATATAAAATATGAACAGCCATGAACAAGTTTAGAAATAGCCATGAACACCATGGGCGATTAGCGGCACCACAACTGGAAGTTCTGCCATTTTAGGTAACCAGATCTAGCTTTTCTGCATGAGCCTTCGTTGCCAGCTCTGCGTCATGAGTTATGACGCAATGCTTTACGGAGTCTCTCTAGAACGCGCACAGCTTCCACTCCTAGCAAGGGGTGCGCTGATCATACATGCTTCAACCAACAAGGAAGGGTGAAAAGAACCTTCCGGATTGCCATCACTTCCCCTCGAATGAAAATTGTCGGAGATAAAGCTGATCACGACAGTGCACCACTTCAAAGCAAAGCCGTTGGTTTCCTGCCAACACCGAGCTATGCGCATGTTTGCGAGATGTTTGCCGCCGCTTGCTGAGGCATATGCCCCTGCGGAGGCACATGCGCATGCTGACGAGGGTCAGTAGACCGCTAGGTGACATCATTAACTTTACACATCACCTTCTAAAGGGGTGGCATAGCTGAGAAATGTGACATGTTTCTAAACCATATTCAGAGCTTCTTTCCGAAGTGGCAGCCAGCGTCCGGGCACAGTAAACAGCGCCCGTAGTTCTGTGCATTATCATCCTGATGAAATGAGGTCGAAATACTGATTGTAAACAAAACGCACTCTGAGCGAAGTGCCATACCATTTCAGGTGCGACAGGTGCTTCTTCTCATCGCGGATCCTCTGGTAGTGGCAGCAACAGAAACACCGCCAGCGTTAGTGAGTACATTCAAGACCTTTGTCAATCCGGAGGGCGTTAGTCCCTTTTGTTCATTTGTGTGCAAGCTCATACCAAGCGACGCGTAGTGACGCCTGTTGACTTGTATGGGTCTATGGAAGCATCAAATTCAGAGTCAAAAAATTATCCCTCCGTGAAATTGCATGAGGAGTTGGTGGCCCTTCTGCGGTAAGTTATGTGTAATTCAGAGCTACAGCTCCTGACCAGCCATCAGCCGGAATTCGTTCATACAAAAATGGACATAAAACGCCCCTGAATGCATGACTGTGCCATTGAGAATCTTTTCCTCGACCCGGATCTGTAACGGTTCTGTATCCGGATCTGTATCTGAGCCTGGACCCTCACGTTATTGACTCATCGTCTTCGTAAACAGATCCGGCTCACACGAATAACCGAATGGTTAGCGCATTGAACTTTCACGTTTGTCTGGCGTTCGAATCCCGGCACGCCATGACCCCAGGGCGCCAATATGGCCAACGCCGTCGCTTGCGCTTTATGAATGGGGCGTGGCGACGCGCGTAGCGCTCCCTTTCATAATGAAGAGATCTGGACGAGCTCCAGCCATGGTGGTGACAATGTCGGAGACCCATCACATCACGCTTCCACCCTACAGGCGCGGACCCGTGCAGCCTGGGTCTGTGCGGCACCAACGCCAACTGCAACAACGTGAACGGCCGCGCGGTCTGCTCGTGCCCCGACGGTTACGAGGGCAACCCGCTGACCGCTTGTACCCGGGGAGAGTGCTCGCGTGAGTACCAGGTCACGGCCCGGGCGGGTCACGTGTCACGGGGCCCAGGGACGTTGCTCCCGTGGCCACGGGCTCACTCGGAGTGGGGATGCTGCGAGTGTCGCAAGGTTCGAGTTGGCAGCCGGGGGCAGTGCTCAAGGCCACTGCGCTGCTGACGGCAGCAGGTATCTCGCGTGCCGAGCAGGTCACTAAAGGCCTGTTGAGAAGACGCCGAGCATGTTGGTCGCTAAAAGAACCAGGGTCATGTGACTGAGTCTCAGCCAGTGAGAACGAAGGTGGTGTTTACGTACGCCATCGCTTGGCGGTGGAGAACCAGGAAAGACTATGCTTGATCAAAAACAAATGCCAAGGCTGCCAATGGATAGTCTATTAAAAGCTCCAGTCGTTGCCAACAGCTTAACTTAACATTCTTCTTCAAACTTAACATAACTTAGATTTAATATAATTCTTCGAATTCGGTTACAAGGCGTCATGGGCTTCCTTTGGGTGCGTGTAACCTACATCCACGACCAGTGAGTGGCGTTGTTATCATCCGGTAAGCCCAGTCGCCGTGATGGGTGACACCTACTGAAATTAAAGGTACGGAAGCCTGATCGTGCCACTTCCTATCGATGGTTTGATCCCTCCACAGTCACCGAAAGATAACGAGTATCGCTGCTTTGGCGTGTATAGGAGTCTACTATGTCGGCCGTACTTGTCCCAACTGTTCCTCTTACGGGATGGCAACAATTGTGAGGCGCGTTCGACCTGTGTTGGCGCGTCCTGCGTAGGCCCTCGCTTGCTCTGACCCCTCCCCTCACCAGAGGACAGCGAGTGCCCGGCGGGGATGTCCTGTGTGGACGTGGACCCTCTCTTACTCTGACCCCTCCCCTCACCAGAGGACAGCGAGCGCCCGGCGGGGATGCCTGTGTGGACGTGGACCCTCGCTTGCTCTGACCCCTCCCCTCACCAGAGGACAGCGAGTGCCCGGCGGGGATGGCCTGTATGGACGTGGACCCTCGCTTATTCTGACCCCTCCCCTCACCAGAGGACAGCGAGTGCCCGGCGGGGATGGCATGTATGGACGTGGACCCTCGCTTACTCTGACCCCTCCCCTCACCAGAGGCAGCGAGTGCCCGGCTGGGATGCCTGTGTGGACGTGGACCCTCGCTTACCCTGACCCCTCCCCTCACCAGAGGCAGCGAGTGCCCGGCGGGGATGACCTGTGTGGACGTGGACCCTCGCTTACTCTGACCCCTCCCCTCACCAGAGGCAGCGAGTGCCCGGCGGGGATGCCCGTGTAGGCGTGGACCCTCGCTTACTCTGACCCCTCCCCTCACCAGAGGCAGCGAGTGCCCGGCGGGGATGACCTGTGTGGACGTAGACCCTCGCTTGCTCTGACCCCTCCCCTCACCAGAGGCAGCGAGTGCCCGGCGGGGTTGACCTGTGTGGGCGTGGACCCTCGCTTACTCTGACCCCTCCCCTGACCAGAGGACAGCGAGTGCCCGCCGGGGTTGGCCTGTGTGGGCGTGTCCTGCGTGGACCCGTGCTCTCGGAACGTCTGCGGCTCCGCTGCCGACTGCCAGGTGGTCAACCACCGGGCCATCTGCAGCTGCCCGGTGGGCTACGTCGGGGATCCCTTCGTCAGCTGCCGGTACAGATCCGGTGAGCATGGACGAACGGTCGGCTTCTGCATTGGACGCCGCTGGAGGGCACGGTGGCAATGTGTGAACTGATGAAGTACTGGTGATAGGAATGGTCATCAGCCGGAGGCTCAGCTGCTTGCAAACTAGAAGTGGAATAATTTTGCTTTGCATCATTTTTGGGAGAAACAGGGTTAACAAAAGTGATTTATTATGAAAATTTTACACTAATTACAATTGTGGAAAATGACATCAAATAAAACTTGATATGATCAGCGGGGAGGATACTAAAGTTTACTCAGCTCTCTCATTTGAGTTCGTATGTATTCTCGGCCGTGAGTAAATATTTAAAGCACGAATTGTTGAAAACTTACCACACAGCCCAACAAATCAATAAATTCGCCCACTTTCCCGAGTACACCAAACCGCCTGACAAAAGTCGACAGTGCATACCAGGCCGACGGCCCGTGGCGGCTCACTGGCGGCCTGATTCGCGACCTCGTCGGCAGCTGGCGCCGACCAGACCGCCGGAGGAGGAGGGGTGGCGCGCACCGGCGGACACTCGACCGGTAGCAGGGTCGTGGTCGATCGGGGCACGCGCTACCGTAAGGGGTGGGGTCACACAGGTCGACCCTGGTCTTGTAATAGGTCAATGAAACGCATCTTGGTCTAAATGTATGCACTCCTTTGCCTTAAGGCCAGCCATTTGTTACATGGACTGGTGTTTTGAGTGTTTTTGTTTCTGTGATTCGTTGGTTTATGGAGTTCTTTATCACCAACAGTTTATTAGCCTATTTATTGTAAAGCATTGCGGTGATAACAACACATTTTTTTGGATTGTAAAATGTCTGACTGCTAATGAAGTGCTATATAAAGTAAAAACTCCGAAGTGTTCGGGACGCATGAGTGAGATATGTACAAATGGTACGAACCCCACGAACCATCGGCGTTATTGCATTTTAAAAGATCCTGACCTGTTCGACGATGCGTGTTTTAGACGCCCTTTCTAGGATTACTAATCTAAAAAATCGTAAACAAGGTTAAAAGCCTACCCTACACTACATGACTACGCTGCCCCAGACTGCGACGCTGCTCACCCAGCCTCAGCCGTCGCCCGGGCCGCGGGGGGCTGACCTTTGGCCCTGCTGCCCGACAGAGGACGCCTGCTCGCCTTCGCCGTGCGGCACGAACACCAACTGCAAGGTGCGCGGAGGCAGAGCCATCTGCAGCTGTATCGCCAACTACATCGGCGACCCGCTCACCGGCTGCCGGGCCGAGTGCGTCTCAGACGCCGAGTGCGCGTCCCGGCAGGCCTGCGTCCAGGTGCGGCGTGCGGTGTCAGCGCACGTGTGGTCACACACGGGCAGGAGTGCTCCTCTTGACTTGTGCTGCATGCTATCAGAAAATCGGTGCACTGGTTCATGGCTTAGTTACATTTTCCGCTTCCCGATGCCAGCCTCGGTAGTGAGGCAGAATGCGGTGCATGGAAATGGCACCGGGAGAACGCTCGCTTGTGGATCAGGGCTCGACGTCGCCTCCGCGCCCTGATACAACCATGCTCGTTTTGGGTGCGGCATTTTTTCAACACACTGTAAGAGTCAGCGCCGGCGCGCTCCCTCGCTCCAGCCGCGCGTTCCGCCTCCTGTCTACAAGCCGCTCCCTGCTCCCGCAGAATCGGTGCCGTAACGCGTGCACGGGCGCTTGCGGCACGGGCGCTCAATGCGACGCAGTCAACCACCGGGCCATTTGCAAGTGCCCGAAGTACTACCGCGGCGACGGCCTGACCGGCTGCTACCCGGAGTGCACCAGCCACTCTGAGTGCAGCGCCTCCCAGGCCTGCATCCAGCTGCGCTGCGGCGACCCGTGCGCCGGCGCGTGTGGCGTGGGCGCCAACTGTCAGCCCCGCAACCACGTGGCCGTGTGCTCGTGTCCGCCCGGCTTCCTCGGCCACCCGTACGACCGGTGCACGCCGCCCAGCTCGTGTGAGTCCGCTGGGCACGCGCTGCGATAGCGTGCCGCGCCGCGGGCGCCACACCCGCTGCCTGCCAGAGCGCCCTCTCTCGGCTTCCTGCTTACCTTGTAACTCACGCGTCGCATGGACGTGAGTGGTGAGCCTTTGAGCATGCATGCTGGCACGTTCTATGAGAGCATGCATGCTGGCGCGTTCTATGTGAGCATGCATGCTTGCACGCTCTATGTGAGCGCTGTCGCTCTGGCTGTTCGCTGGAGCAGAAGGACTAGCATGTGAGTCGACATCACCACCGTGCTGGCTCTCACCACTCGGAAGAAGCAGCCGCTGTCTCAGCTTGGCCGGAGGCCCTGGGTGTCACACTCAGGGTCCGGTGTGCCCGGCCCGGTATGGCCCAGTACGCCACCCACTGTCACACCGGGTGCCGTGCCGTGCCGCACCGTGTCGCACCTGGGCACCAGCATGATGCCTCTCTTCGCCTCTCAAGCCTTTCTCAATCGCGCTGATTGGCCCGCCGTGCCGATCCCGCCCGCTTATGACTCTCGCCACGCTGCTTTCAGCTACCGCAGCCGTCAACAGCGCTGGGCAGGGGCCCCAGTACGCGTCGCCGTGTGCGGAGAAGGCCGGTGAGTGGGAACCCAGCTGTGCTTGAGATGCCGCCTGTCTCACCGCCTTTTCCAGTCGGAGAGAGGACGACACGGCCACTTGCGCCCAGAATGCACCCTCTTCAAAGTGTTCTTTTAGTCCCCTTCAAAGGGCAATTTTTTCCTACTGTGGCATCACTGATGTGACTTTGATTCCGCCGCATCCTCCCGCAGGAGATTGCCCTCCGATGGAAATATTCCGGCAACATCAGAAGCGTTTAGATATTCTTAAAACTTTGGATAGACAGATGACAGATAGAAATAAATATGTCCGATAGCTCGGTTGCCTAGAGTGCTCGCCTTTCGATTCACTCATCCATGGTGAGGTGGGTTTGAATCGCTTTAGGCGCTCGGTTTTTTCCTCGGCAGGTATGGCCTACGGTCAGTGGCAGCGGCCGTGCTAAGGGTCAGGTGACGTCAGAGGGCAGGACGAAGCCGTGCTGAACATTGCGGCACGGTAAACTTTCACCATCAAATTCTGACGTTGTCCTGGAATTGTGCGATCGGGTGATAGGGGTCGTATCACACACAACAAGCGCTGCTTAGTGTGAGCCCTAGTTCCAGAAATTAATACATGAAAACAAAATCGGAAGGCAACTTTTAAAAGCTGTTTATCTGGTCATATGTCTACGCTGCATCTTGGGTAGACCCTGACGCCGGTCTGTCGATGGTTCACAGCGCTCGCGGCAGGGTCTTCGGCTGGAGCCTTAGCCCACGGCCACTCAGGCTCAGGTCAGTGTCGGCACCACATCCACCAATCGAAGCGGACCACTAAACGGCCAGAGCACGGCTATAGGGGGCATCGTACGCAATGCATTATTGAATTATTCGTTATAACCATTGAGCCAATAATCATGCAGAATGGAGCGACCAGGATTACGAATCTCCTTGCCTAGCTTCATGCAGCATCACACAGAAGTGTAGCATGGAAATTGTGTCCCATTCTTTCGCTGCAACGGTACCCTGTATATTCAAGAACCCGCGTCTTACACGTGAACTACTGACATGCTGTACGCAAACATCCGCATTTTCACGCAGAAGGTAACCCAGTCAGTTCGAGCCTATTCCTAGTGCGGCGTTTGCATAATCAGCTGCAGGCTAATGGAGGGCGTGACCTTGACATGAGACCTGCGGCGCCTGCAGGCAGCATGTGCTCTCCGAATCCGTGCGGAGCGTACGCCGACTGTGCTCCGGGCACCGACAAGACCGGCAAGCCGCGACCCGTCTGCACGTGCCCGCGCGGCTACCTGGGCGACCCGCTGACGGCCTGCCAGCGCGGCGAGTGTGAGGTGAGAGCTCCCCCTCCCCTTTCCCCAGGGCTCGACTCAGTGACCGGTCACCACGCTGCCCTCTGGCGGAGCCCTGATGCAACAACTGCCTTGTTTCAGATCGTTATTGCTATGAGTGTACTCACAGGGGAGCTTCTTACAATCCGGTACTTGTTCGTCGATGATAGATGGGTCCAGACAGTCGTTTTGGGGCCACAAAATGACTGGTAGTACGTAACGCTAGATAGGTATAAAGCCAACTCGGAGACGGTATCACAAAGCCATCGTTTGACCTCGATCTCGCTGCGTCCCACTTTAACGTCTCCCTCCACCAGGATCATTCCAACTGCCCGGCAAACCAGGCGTGCTACAACTACATCTGCACCAATCCCTGCTTGAGTGCCAGCGGCGGGAACGTGTGCGGCATCAACGCCCTCTGCCGGGCCCAGGCGCACAAGGGCGTGTGCTACTGCCCGGCCGAGTACTCTGGCGACCCGCTCACCGAGTGCCGCCTGAAGCCTGTGGCCAGGGGGTGAGCACGGACGGGGGACACGGGGGACACGGGCTCGGCCGGGCCCCTCAGATCAGGGAGGACGGAGTGGGACAGGAGACTGAAACCAGATGATGGTGTCTCTTAACGATGCGTGGGACCGGGAGCTTGATATTTGCGAAAACTACACTGATCAGTGCCAGTACAATTATTTTTCCAGTCTGATGACTTGCTCGGATGACCGGTTTGGCGATAGCCCCGATGGTATGGGCCCTTGGTCTTGACCCCGCGGAGCACGAACGTGGATTCTGCGTGGCCGTTGCTGCTCACTCGCATTTTCCATGAACGGTCAGGCGACGTGCACCGCGCGGTGCTCGCCCGCAATACTAGTACCTGCTGGGTGACGAATTCTCTAGCACTGCTTGTGTTCGCATGAACGCCAACTTTGTTTCTGTGTCTGATAGTAACAATCATCAAAAAATACAGAAAACGCAGTGTTTCTGTAATTGTCTATCAGGATTCAATTTGATCCGCTCCAATGGCGTGTTGCTTGCATTATAACGGACGTGCTTTTCATATACCGTTCAGGGGACATCGCACCAAAAGATTCATCGACTTCCTGATCAAAACACCGGCGCATTAATGCGCGTTGAGATCGGCTCGGCAATGGGAGGCCGACCAACCTCGGAGCGTGAAGATGGCCTCCGCAGCCGAGGATTCCTTCGATGGGACGCCGCATTGTTTTGCTTGCACCCTTCCCTGACTGTGTTCCGTTCCTGCTAAGTGTGAAAGACATACGTTTCCTTATAGGCGCGAGGTGGCATCGATTTTTGGCTGTGTTTTACTTCATGTTGGATTATTGTAATCGATTCACGTTTAAACTCCACAGCGTTATTCCATCAGTGGTATTGACAAATTCGCGTTTCAGCGCGGATCTGTTAATCTGTCAATCAAAGCGCTTCATACTTGAAAATGTTTGCCTTTGAATAACAATGACCGCAAAATATGGACGGAATAAAGTGTTACGCCGACTAAGGTCGTCCTGCTTGCGAGCTGCTTAATTGTATTTCTCAGTGTCTTCTTCGCTAAGACACATTTTAAGGTAAATGTCTAGCATACCCTCGAACTGTTTGCGGTTCCAATTAGACATGTCGGGAGTTTCAGGCTTAGAAAATTCCCTGGGACATTCCGTGAATAAAACAAGTATCTAAAACAGTGTTTTATGCGCGTTTTGGTGACATATTGACCTTTATGTGGTATTTTGTCCGTGCTTCTGAACGTTTTGCAGTATCGGCAACTATAGCAATTCGAGCACCGTTACGAGCCCCAGAAAAAACTTGCTCTGATGCTGTTTTTGCAGCAGTTGAGCTGTCACCCTGCCTGTCATCGTTATGAAGTGTAACAATTATCACACACCCCTTATTATGGTTAATCATGCGATTAACTACTTGCATACTATTATAAAAATCTAAGCCGAAAGGGCTATCTGAGTCATATCTCTGCATTCAGCTGGTCCATTTTCGGCACTCATTGCCCCGCGGGTGCTTTTGTACTCATTAGCCGTTCGATGGGGACCACAGACGCCGTCAGATATCTAGAAAACTAAACATTAAACTAAGCATTCTACAGTCACGGGAAAATGGAATGGGGAAATCCCTCGCCAAACTGTATCCGTCAGATGCTGTTGACGTATCGACTCAGTGATTGAATTTATGCGATTTAAGAATTGGTTATTGTAAATGGTGGACGTGGCGTATGATAGGTCAAGTCAGGTTTTAACTAGCACGTAAACCCCTTGATATTTCAAGAACCAATCATGCTACCGCAAAGCAGAAAACAATGATCCATAATTTTTGTAAAGTTCTGTCCGACGAACGCTAGTAGACATCCAAAGATACAGCTTACATGTTACTTGAGGTCAAAAGGGTAATTGTTGAACTGACCCGTCCGGCTATATTAATAACTGAGCAAATCACCTCAATGTGTGTGTTGGGGGGGGGGGGGATAAAACCAGAGAGGCCTTCTGCTGCAAGTTGTGTGAAAACAAGCTAACACCTAATTATCTTCGGAATGCCAAATATTTTCAACAATGTTAAAGTTTGATCAGGCCTGATATTCGTTGCCCTGATCTTCCAAAAACAGCCAGAACAATAGCAGTACACACTAGCGTGATAAAGTTAGGAAATGCGACCTAAAAGCATCTTTTGATTGCACTTTCTGTGAGAAATATGTTAATTTGTCACTTCCGAGAAAACTGTCAGCGGCATGTCTTCGCGGAAGAGGTCATGGGTCATCGGTTGTCAGAAAATTGTTTCAAGAACGCATGCAAGCAGGATGTTTAGGACATGTGTAAAAGTGATATATTCTTAGCTATCCGAAAGTTCCAGCAAATCACTGATAACCGCTCCAAGCTAATTGTGTACAAATTTGTGGTGCCTATGAAGCCCACTTCGTTTGGGGAAAGGTTAAAGCCTTCTGCTCTTAAAAGTCACTGAAGTCTGGGGTGTAACCCTTACTCTAAGCGCGTTGCAACCGCTTTGCTTGTCGGGGTATATTGTGCGTGCCGACCTCTCTCAGTAATGATTGCTGGTTGTTTAAATGATCTTGAGGTCATTAATTCTGCTGCAGTTTTTCGTACAAAACTTAAAAAGCCCTCCTACTGCAAAAATCATTCCAAAAATTACCGCACCTGATCGTTTGAAATCATCCGAGCCCACCAGAAGCCCCAAAACCCTCCCAACTGCGCAAGTTATTTGTAGATTATCTCGCGGATTGCTTGAAGCTTTCCGAGCTCACCTTTTTACCTTCGTTGATCTCACAAACAAATGGTCAGTTACACAGACCGAAACGATCGTACAATGCAAGCGCAAACGTCTGATAGACGATTTCTTTTTCGTAAATTTGACCCGAACCCTTTGAATGGATGAATTTCTGGGATCAGCGCTCACGCTAAGCAGTGTTCGTTGCGTGAGCTCTGACCCCATCATCCGATCGCGCAATTCCAGGCAACGGCAGAATTTAGTGGCGAAAGCTTAACGTGCCGTAATGTTCGGCACGGTCCGTCCTGCCCTCTGACGTCAATTGACCGTTAGCGCGACCGCTGCCGCAGGCTTTACCTGTCAAGGGCAAATAGCGGGCGCCCTAAAGCGACTCCAACCCACCCTGGCACGGGTGGGTGGATCGGAATGCAGGCGCTCAAACCAACTTAGCCACCGGGACGGATTTAACATTTCATGCAAACAGCAAAAACCTACGTTTCTGGTGGATGGCATTGGTCGGTATGCTGGGAATAGCTGATTTTTATTATATTACGAGTCTCAATTAACCACAAAATAAAGACATAATCAAAATATGTTGTAAATGCAAGACCTCTTTCACAGATAAGACGGTAGTAATAGCCGTACCGTCCAGGCTCAGCAGCAGATGGCGGTTCGTTGCTGTTCTGTTCTGTTCTGTTCTGTTCGTTGCTGTGCAACTGGCGGATGAGACAGTGTGCGAGTGACTCGGTGGCCCGCTCAAACAGCCGGAACACGTCACCTCATTCGTCCCGGTTTTGGCGGCCGTGCCATCGCAGCCGAACCCATTGACGTGACCGTCGCACTGCAGGCTCACGGAGTGTAGCTCGTTGAGCAAGGACAGGGCTCGGACTCGGACGTCAAGTGAGTCACGTAGCGGCTGCCTGGCACAGTGATGACAACAACGTGGTTTTCAACGGCATTCGAGCGGCTGGGTGCGGCTTATGTAGGTCCTGTTTCCGAGACCGCGAAATGGAGGATGGTCAAACCTGACTCGTAGATTGATTCAGCACTTCGATGGCCCGTCTCCTCTCTCGCTCTGTCTCTTACGCGCCAAATCTTCTAAGGATCTACGGTATTTGATTTCAAGCAACCAGTCCGTCTCTGCTGTCTTGCTGGAAGGCTTTGAAAAGAGCAGCGGCCCGGTTTAAAGACCGTGGCTGTCAATCACCAGAGCGGTGTTAGTCATATCGTTAACGTTACTATCTGCAGGACAGCGGTCTCCCACGGGGAACTAACAATCAGTGTCGTCGCCACATTCTACCAAGTACAGAGCCGCGTCAGAATCCGTGCCCTCGGCCAGCTCACCAATGCTGATACCACTTGGTCCCGGAGCAGGCTTGAATTCGACGTCTGCAGCTGGTGCTGGCTCAGCAGCTGGCGGGGGAGACGACTCAGATTCAGCACCAGACATCGCCTCACTGGCGCCCGAGCTGCGACGCTCCTGAAGTTGTCTGGTCATCCTCCGCAACCTCGCGAACGTGCCTTGTCACAAACATAGCCCGGTCATATGACTCGAGGGCAAGCTCGTGATGCCTGCACTGATTCTTCAAGAAGACAGTGCCGTCTTGCTGCACGCTGTAGGCAGTTACGCATCGGCAGCAGCGCTGGGCCTTGCGCTTGCATTTCGCGATATCGAGAAGCTTATTGAATTTCGCGATGGCGTCTTAGTTGTGTCTCTTTTTTCGTTTTTTGATTTCGTGGTGAGATAGCTCCGTATGAATCATGTCATTGCCTCTGGATTACTTTTACCACGTAATTAAGGTCATAAAGAAGGGTTTATTCTTTGGTCCACAGTGCCCTGATTCCTAGTATCGCGGTCTTGAAGGCGGTATCAGTGAAAATCTTTTTCGATTCGCCCAGTCATGTGATGTAACTTAAGGCTCCCCGTAGTGGGCAGTTGGTGGTGGGACAGAGCAGCCAGCTGGCCTGTCACAAAATGTCTTGTGCGTGACCGTTTTGCCCTCGGCATGCTTGGCCAAGTGATTGTTTGGAAGAAGCATTTCAATACCGGCAAAAGTAAGCTAATACAACGTCATGGCCCATATAACAAGCATTTACACTGCAATGGTGCGTGAACAATCGCAACGTTGAGCTAACACCGGTCTGCTGGAGCCTTCTCATAACAACACAGTTTGGTTTTACCAAAAATAATGTTTTTTGATAATAAGTAATCTTGATAGCTCTTTGGCCATGTTTTGCTGGTGTTCTTCGTGATACATTTGTTCATACTTAATCCACCAAGTACCAGAAGTGGAGCAACAAGTGACAAGCTTGAAGCTTGTTGAAAGATGAGGCCAGTGTGTGAAATAGATGGCGTTACTATCAAATATGACTCCCCAAGCTTATCGAGGAAAAACTGTTCTCACTTCACGAATATCGACACTGGTGTGGTGCGACAGACGTAAACGCTTATCTTTAATCCATGCGCCAAGGCAAAAACTTCGTCTCAGTTGATCCCAAGAGATTCATCCACTAGATGACACACCTTAGTGTACACTTCCTACTTCCTGTTGACCTTAACCCACGCAGTCTTCGATCGACCGTAAATGAGGCACTTTGTTGTTTAACTCGTCCAGCAGTCCGAGTATATCACAGGCCAATGTGCGGCCGCCCAGTCCGACTAAGGCACATGACAGTCATTGGCGTATATCTATTGGGTGTAAGGCAGCGACCTCTTCCCTGAATACTGACGCTGCGTTAACATGATCACAGTGGAGATGGCCACTATGCAATAAGTTTCCTTGGTCACTTCCCGTTATATTGCAATTCATCTTCCCAGGGATATTTATAGCTGGTCCAGTATGAAAGCTTTGGCTGATGGGCATGCAACTTCTACTGCGTGTGAAATAACTTTCACCGTCAAGGCATCCTGCTCTCTTTCAGCGCTCAACAAGTCACAATACTGCTGAGCCGCACATGTTGTGCCTCAGGCTGTTTCGGGATGGCGTGCGAGGTAACGTGCGAGGCCTTCCTCTTTTCATGCACTTAATGTCCTCTCCTGCATGAATGTTGGCACATTGCTCCGGCTAGTCCCTAGTCTTAACGCCAGAGGACGGGTCAATGCCCACCTGTGTGCTTGGCGGCACGCATAGCCTTTCTAACCTTTCCGTCGGCCATCTTCACCGCCTTCCGGCAGGATTTGCACCTGGTTTGTGTTGCACATCACCTGTAATCTCTAACTTTTTAGGTGCAGACACATAAATATCAAATCTAACTAAATGTTTTTAAAAAAATAATTTTGTTTTAGTTTTATTCAACTTTCAATTTAAACTTCAAAAATCACTAAAAACAATAATAAAACACCGTTGGCCTTACTCTTCCAAACTGACCGAACTGATGTGCTGCCCATGCACTTGGCTGATTAGGATTTATTACAAACAACATTTTTTGCCAAGTCTCGACAGACTGAGGCATT